GCCTTGCTGAGTAGGAATATATGAAATGAATGAAAAAATGAAGAGCCTGAATTAGAAGAAAGCTAAGAAAAGGGAAAGAGCAATCCAATGCTAAGAAGCTCGTTAATGACATGGGAAATCAGAAGTGACTTGTTTCTAGCGGCGCTGAGGAACTCCTAGAGGGCCCTCACTTCTGTCTCTGAGGCAGTCAGGGGCGGCACTGGCTACTTTTGCTTAACTGCTTTTTCTGGGGTCCTGGTGTGGCACTGATGTGGGTGAGGGTGCTGGACCCCCAACACCTCCCACGTAGATGGGTTCTCAGCCTGCAGGAACCAGGAAAGGGGAGTGGGGGGACAAAGGGCCCTGCAGGATGTGGGGGATGTGTGTTGATGGCTCTCCCTCCTCACAGCCCTGAGGCACCTGGGCTGTTGTGATCACAGAGGGGCCAAACCAGAGGACAGTGCTCAAGGCCGACGTTTAGACAAGTGCCACTGCTGCTGGATTTTAAGAAGAATTCAGTAGGTGTCTTTTGTTTGACTTTTAAAGATGATCACAGTGGCAATAGTTTCAGGGGCTCATTCATCCTCCACGGCTCCAGAAGATTTTAGAGTCCAGGAACACACATTGTTTTTGCATTTTTCCACTGTTGATCAGGATTCTTCTGTGGAATCATTGATCAAAATGTTCAGTAATAACAGTGGGGCATCATCCCCTCTGGTCTCATAACAAAGGGGACAGTTGTCCATGGAAGCAGTTAGACACACCATATCCACTTCCTGATTCCCTGCCTTGCCCTGTTACTACCTGGAGGGCACATGTCCGTGGAGAAATGACGATAACGCAGGAGCAGACATTTCAGAAAGAGTAGGTGTAAGATGAATTGACGGCATGATGCAGGTGGGCAAGGAGGGGCTACCGTAGATACAGTCCGAGAGACCTGGGAAGATTGGGGGGGGGGCGTAGGGGAGGACAAGAGGAGTCGCAACACTCTGTGTCTAGGGCCCTTGCCAGAGGCAGTATCAGTGATGGTGAGGTGGTCCCATGCAGAACCAGAGTGCGCAGCAAACCATTGCCCCTGAAGCCCCTTTGGATGAAGCAGTTGATAAGAGCAGGAAGTTGTGTGGGAGCCCACGCCTTGGACATGGAAGCCCTAGGCTCCAGTCCCAGCCAGCTCATCTCCTGGGTGTTGGTGTGAGATGCTGCTTAGGGTATAAGGGATAAGGTATTCCTTCATTTCAGGTGGTGCTTACAATCAATCACCTCGTGCATGGGACGTGGACAGTGGTCGAGGAGCAAAGAGAAATCCATATCCTTGAGTGGTGGACATATCTGGGTTGCAAGAAGTACACACTGGCCCTGTGGCTCTAATTTGCGGAGAGGAACATGTGAGCAGGAAGGGGTGGCCCTTTAAATTGGTGTTGAGAATGCATGCAGCACAACAGTTTCCACCTGGACCCTTCAGTGATGGGGACAACATTGTACACGCCGGTCACCCTCGTCCCATGAACATAAACTCCCTGCCCTATAGGTCCGGAGTTGCTGCTGTGACTTCCATGGACACAGATTGTAAAATAATGAGCAGACTGCTGTTAAAGGAGGAGAAGCACTAGACTACTCCCTACAGGGGCTGCGCCTTGGAGATCTTGGGCAGACTCACTGAGTTGGGACCCACGTGTTAAGTACCATCTGAACAGTGCTTTTAAATATCTTTATGAGCCAACACATTGTTTTGCCAGTTTGTACATTTATAAAGTTGATTCAAAACTATAAGAATGAGTGAGATTAGAGAATTATGAAAAGACAAATGTTGTGAGGTCACCACTGTAAAAAGTTAAGCAGAGGTGTTCCATCTCAAAGAAATGTTCTATGATGGTTCCGGTGGGAGGGAAGGGAGACTTGTTCACAGGCTAGAGGGCAGACACATGGAAGGTGGCCAAGGAAAGATGAAAGTAGAGGGAGACCAAGGGAGGAACGCAAGAGTTAAACAGAACAGAGGTGATTAATTTTACAAGGAGGGAATTGCAATCATTGTAGTGAAGGAACGTATATGATTTGTTGAATGTAAAACTGATCTCTCTAAACCTTCATTCATTCAATTCACAATAAAAAGTTAGAAAAGAACAAACACTATAAGGAACCCTGGTAGCTATGTGGG